GCTGCCCTTCTCTTTGCTCTGGGCCACTCGGGTAAGAATGGGGCTCCGGAGACCGGGGGCCAGTAGAACGCGAGCTCCCCTCCGACCCCGGTTCCCATTCACCAGCCCCGGGGTGCCCCCGGCTTCGCGCACGTGGTTTTGGTCCCCCGGGACGGGCGTGCAGCTCCGCAGTCTTCGGGAAGCCCCGCCCGGTGCCCGGGGAGCCCTGGGGCCCCTCCGCGTTCCGGCGACCGGGCGCCCGGGGGCCTGCGACCGCCTCCTTCACGTGGCGTTGGGGGAGAGGAGCGCTCAGATGCCCCGCGGACCCCGGGGAGCGAGCGGGGCCCCTGGACCGGGGGGCTGAGCCTGTCCAGCCAGCCCCGAGCCGTGCAGATGATGCAACTCGGCCCCGCTGCTTACATCAGGGGTTCCTTGGCGCTGCGGACTGACGGACGGGACGGGTCGGGGCACAGAGGGCGGGAAGTTGGTTTTGGCTTCCCTGCCTGAAGGCTCCCGCCACCACCAAATCCCTTCCCCCAGAGGCCGTAAAGGTCGCTCTGCCACCTCTTGCTCTGGAAACCACGTCTGCTGTCTGCCGCCTGAGTCCTTGCTAGCTCAGCTCCAACCCCCTGACTGCCACGGAGGCCCTTCAGGGGACCCTTTGGTTCCTGTGGGTTGGGGAGGTTCTGGAACCTTGGTGGATTGCCCCTGAGCTCCAGAGACATAGGCTTCTAGAGGACAAAGTTTGCCCTGTGGCTTTGCAGAGTGGTTCATGGGTCGAGGTGGAGGGAAATTCTGAGGTGAAATCAATGGACCAAATCAGAACCATCCCCTGGACATTGATCTCAGCCTTGGCTCTAGAACTGGCTTGTTGAAGGTGGAGGCGGGGGTGGTGAGAATTGGAAAGGCTGGCTGGACCACTGGCTGTGAGGTTTGGAGCCGGAAAGCCTGATAAGCATGGCTGAGGGTTGTTGGGCGACTGTTTGGATGCTTTTTATCTGACCGTGGTGTTTCCTCTCCTAGCCTCTGCAGAGATGTGGGCGGCTGGTCAGGATGGCCGCCCGGTGCCAGCACAGCGAGGTGGCCCAGACCCAGACCGGAGAAGCGGCGAGCAGGGGCTGGACGGGCCAGGAGAGTCTGTCAGACAGTGATCCTGAGATGTGGGAGCTGCTGCAGAGGGAGAAGGACAGGCAGTGTCGTGGCCTGGAGCTCATTGCCTCAGAGGTGGGGCTTGGGGAGAGGGCCCAGGCATAGGCCGCAGTGGGTGCAGGAGATAACAGGTCATCATACTGATGTTTCTCCAGATTTCCCTGTCGGACTCAGGGCCTTCCTGCTGGGCCTTATCTCCTTCTTTTCTTTACTGAAGAACAGGCAGGGCCAGTCTGGATTATGGGGTGGGGACATTAGAGAGCTTCCAAAGCTGTCCGGAGCCCTTCTAGTCTAGTCTGGCCCCTTCCCCTTCCCGAGAGGAAAGCGGGGCCTGGAAGCACCGGTTCAAGTGGACGGGTGGCCTTGCTGGGGACACCTATCACGGCAGCTAGGTGTCTCAGGATGCTTCCTCTGGCCTTTCTTCAGGCCTGACAAGGAATGCTGAGTGAGCAAACAGCTCTCAGTGGAGCCCAGCTCCTTCCTCCCTGCAGCCTGGGGTTCTGGCAGGAAGGGGCTATGGGAGGCTCCAGGGAAGAGGGCTCAATACCTTCTGACATTACCCCCCACCCCCCTCACCCCAGAACTTCTGCAGCCGGGCTGCGCTGGAGGCCCTGGGGTCCTGTCTGAACAACAAGTACTCGGAGGGTTATCCTGGCAAGAGGTGAGGGCTAGGTACCAGAGGGCTGGGAGGCCATCCCTGATGGGCGTGCCCCCAGTGTGGATAGAGGAGTGGCCTTCCCAGCCCTTTGCCGCTGGTTGCTGAAGATACTGGGACCCTCTCCGGGTGCCCTGATAAACCCCCATCTCATGGCAGATACTATGGAGGAGCCGAGGTAGTGGATGAGATTGAGCTGCTGTGTCAGCGCAGAGCCCTGGAGGCCTTTGACCTGGATCCTGCACAGTGGGGAGTCAATGTCCAGCCCTACTCAGGCTCTCCCGCTAATCTGGCCGCCTACACAGCCCTCCTGCAGCCTCATGACCGAATCATGGGGCTAGACTTGCCCGATGGGGGCCAGTGAGTACCGGGGTGGGTGATGGGCTTGGTGGGCAGGATGGGCATGGGACAAGAGTTGTTCCCAAACACCACCGTGTGCCATGGATGGCGCATGCAGGCGTCTCCCTGCCCTGCATATCAGTGGATGAGGAAGAGAAGCCACCAGTAACCAGTGCTCACCGTGCAACAGACCTGGCGTGCGGGTGGTGCATACCAGGGCCAGTGTTCTAGGGACAGAGGCATCGGAGCTGGGCGGGAGGGGTGTGGTTCACTCCGGGCGTTACTGGTTTCTGAAGCTCTCTTACCCCTCTCAGTCTTACCCATGGCTACATGTCTGATGTCAAGCGGGTCTCAGCCACGTCCATCTTCTTTGAGTCCATGCCCTACAAGCTGAATGTGAGTTCTGGGGCTCTGCTGGCGCTGTGCTGGGGTAGGTGAGGGGCTGGAGTCCTGGGCCGGAGTCGGGGAGGAGAGGGAGCTGTCCTGCTTCCTTCTCAGGGCTTCAGCTTTTTGGTTTGTCCATGCAGCCTAAAACCGGCCTCATCGACTACGACCAGCTAGCACTGACCGCTCGACTTTTCCGGCCGCGGCTCATTATAGCCGGTACCAGCGCCTATGCTCGCCTCATTGACTATGCCCGCATGAGAGAGGTTGGTGGAGGGCTGGCATACCAGCCACTTCCCAGGGGGTAGTGGGGAGATTCTGGGAGGGGGCAGCCTTGGGGAGGCCTCCCCAGGCTAAGGCCTGTCTCTGTACCTGCCCAGGTGTGTGATGAGGTCAAGGCACACCTGCTGGCAGACATGGCCCACATCAGTGGCCTGGTGGCTGCCAAGGTGATCCCCTCACCTTTCAAGCATGCGGATGTTGTCACCACCACCACTCACAAGACCCTTCGAGGGGCCAGGTCAGGCTTCCCTGAGGTCAGGCCTTATCTTTTTCTGCCTTCACGCCCTATTCCAGGGGCGTGGTTGGGCTGCATCTGAGAGGAGTTTATTCTCACCTGAAACCCTGAAGACTTTGGCCCAGTCTGTGATGACTCTCCTTGTCTTGCCTGTGGTGCAGTTCCCTGCTAGGGGATTTGGGGGTGGGGCTGAAGGGCTGCTCTCCTTGACCACTGGAGTCCCGCACACCAGCCCAACTGAAGTAGACTCAGAGAGCACGGGGACCCAGGTCAGCCTTCTCTGCTTTCACCATCCCTCGTCCTTTCTTCTCCGCTTAGATTCTGATCACCTGCTTCCCCCATAGGTCAGGACTCATCTTCTACCGCAAGGGGACGCGGGCTGTGGACCCCAAGACTGGCCGGGAGATCCCTTACACGTTTGAGGACCGAATCAACTTTGCTGTGTTCCCATCCCTGCAGGGCGGGCCCCACAACCATGCCATTGCTGCCGTGGCTGTGGCCCTAAAGCAGGTTGGGGAGCCTACTCTCCTCGGGGTGGGGGAGGGGCAGTTGGCCTGGAGGCTTAGCCGGGCTCCTTGCTGAATGAATTGGAGCTGATAAAAGGGAAGCTCCCTGGTGGGGTCAAGGCTGGAGTCCCAACTACACTGGAAGTGGAAGGGCAGCAGGAGGTGGCGCTTGGGGTCATGGTGCCTCTGTCTCATCTCCAGGCCTGCACCCCCACGTTCCGGGAGTACGCCCTGCAGGTTCTGAAGAATGCTCGGGCCATGGCCGATGCCCTGCTAGAGCGAGGCTACTCACTGGTGTCTGGTGAGCCAGGGGGGTGGGTGAGAGCCTCTGCAGTCTCAGGCCGAGGCCCCCTCCCAGCTCACTGTCCCTCCCCCTAGGTGGCACCGACAACCACCTAGTACTAGTGGACCTGCGGCCCAAGGGCCTGGATGGAGCTCGGGCTGAGCGAGTGCTGGAACTGGTATCCATCACAGCCAACAAGAACACCTGTCCTGGGGACCGAAGCGCCATCACACCTGGGGGCCTGCGGCTTGGTGAGACCTGGGTTTGCAGAAGGAAGGATGGCTGCCAGGTGGGCTCGGACTAGGCTGATCCTCGTCTGCCTCCCTCCCAGGGGCCCCAGCCTTGACCTCTCGACAGTTCCGTGAGGATGACTTCCGGAGGGTCGTGGACTTTATAGATGAAGGTGTCCACATCGGCTTGGAGGTGAAGAACAAGACCGGTGAGTTGGGGCAAGGCCCTCCCTGAGCTCACTCTGTGCCCCTCCCCCTGGCCGGCCTGACTGCCTTCCCTGGAGTTCTGACCTTGTGTTGCCTCACCCCCTCCAGCCAAACTCCAGGATTTCAAATCTTTCCTGCTCAAGGACTCAGAAACAAGTCATCGGCTGGCCAACCTCAGGCAGCGAGTGGAGCAGTTTGCCAGGGCCTTCCCCATGCCTGGTTTTGATGAGCGCTGAGGGCACTTGGGATGTGGGGCCCACGGACTGGAGTTTATTCTCCTCTGTCTCCTGGGACCAATGGAGGGGAGCGACGGTTTCAGTTTTTTGCCGGAGGAGGGGAGGGCTCTTACTTAGGGAAACCCAGCTCTATCCTGGACTCTGTAGCTGAGATTTCTTTCCGTAACTAGACTTAGAAGGAGGAGGCCTGGGGCTTTCTGCCCCGAACTCTCCCATTATCTCAGTGTTATAGACTCCTTGCTCTTACCTGGGGAGAGGGCAGTTGCCCCTGTGAGCCTGAGGAAGGGGCGAGTAGGCACCCACCTTTCTGTTTTTGTCTAATAAACTGCTACCCTGCCTGGATCTCTCCTTTTACTGCGGGAGGGGTCCCCTGGGCCAGGTGGTGGCGTGTCTCCCTCTACGTGTTCCCTCCCACCACCACCACAAGGACCCCCCCCCCCCGGCGGGGGGCCACAGCCTCCTTTCTCTGTCTCTGATCAGAGCCGACACCAGACGTGATTAGCAGGCGCAGCAAATTCAATTTGTTAAATGAAATTGTATTTTGCCCACGGCTGCTTCTGCTTGATCCCAGGGGACTGAGGGGAGCAAGGGAGGGAGCGGGGAGGCCCAGGTGCAGGGCTGCGGGAGGGGATGCCTGTTGGCTCTGGAAGCAGTGGGCTTGGGCACAGAGAGGAGCTCGGCTCCGCGGGCGAAGGTGTCGCATCCAGGGCAGGCCAGGCGCAGGCAGCGAGCCCAGTCGAGCCAGAGCAGCGCCGCCCCTGCACTGGTGCCGGAGCCCGGCTAACGTGGGGCTCGCCACGTCACTTGGCACTGGGAGGCCTCTGCTTGCTCCTGGCTCACGTTGGCCACGCTCAACACGTAGCCTGGGCCACACCCAGCCGGCCTGGGTAGGGGGGCAGAGGGGCGGGTTTGAGCCTTTCCAAATACACACTGCCTGCCCTCTAACTCCTCCCCCCCGCGTGGGACTGGAGCTGAGGGTCAGAGGCGCTTCCGCTGCTGGGAGCAAGGGAAGGGGGTGGGGAGCTGTCTCCCCTCCTGTGGGAACCAAGCCTGTGTAAGCAGCAGCTGGCCGGGGTGGTGAGAGTGGCGCCCTGGGGGCAGGGGGCAGTGAGTGGAAGAAATGAGTCGGTGCTTCACTTCTCACTTGCGCCCCGGCCAGCTCAGAAGTCGGGCCGGTCCTTCTTCAGCTTCTTATAGTCCGTGGAAACTGCAAGAAACTACAGGAGGGAAAGGGGCACCTAGTGCCTCAGGCCTCCCCTCATGGCCTGGGGTGGGGGTGGGGTCCTGGGACCCAGATCAACAGATGGAAGAGGTACCTTGTATTGGTCATTGGGGCTCAGGCGGTTCCATGGCTCTGGGTTGTTCTTTCTGTCCCAGCTACAGAGAGGAAGGGGGACGGTGAGGGTTTGCTCCCTGGAAGCTAGGACCCCGGAGCCGGAAGCGACACATAGGGTCTCCTGCCCTGCAGCAGCACCCCTGCCCTATCCTGGGAGGCCCATTTCTCAGAGACCCACTGGGGTGGTGACCAGTGGAACAGGAAGGCTGTCAGCGTGGGGCCGGTGGGATTGACAACCCAGCCCAGGGCCTCCCCCGCTCCTGCCCCCCCAGGGTCACCCCCAGAGCAGGGCAGCGGAAGTCAGGCGGAGACCCCAGGGGCTGGGGTTTCAGTGATGCGCCGACCCGACGTCGCCCAGGCCTCCCGCCGCCCCCCAACCCCCTCTCCCTACCCCGCCCCTGCGGAGTCTCCGCCGCTGCAGCCCCCACCGCGGCGCCCCTAGCAGCTCCCCCGGCCGGGGCGGGAGGGGGGTACCCGAAGCCGCCCGCCGGCGGCGCGTAGTCATGGCAACCGGGCCTGGAGCGGTGCGGGTTCCGCGGCCCAAAGCGGGTGGAGTCTGGGCCCAGGAGCGAGCGGTGGGACGGTGGGGGAGAGCGGGCCCCAGGTGGAGGTGCCCGGCGGTGCAGACGCGGGGGGCTGCCTGGGGGTCCCCGCTGAGACCCCTCCCTGGCCTTCCTACCCTCCCCCTGCCTGCGGCCTACCCGCCTTTACCAGACGTCGGGGCTGCGCAGGGCGAGTCTCAGCAGGTACAGCGCGGCGCTGCCCATCCCCAGGCCGATGAAGCCGATCATCGGGATGAGCTGCGGAGAAGACGGGGCCCGGGGTCAGCGCCCTCCCCGAGGGCCCCGACGGCCCGCTGGGCCCCCACCCGGGCCTGGGCTCCCTCTCACCCTCACCCGGGGAGGGGACCTGGGACCTCCCGCTACACTGCAGCCTCCGTGTCCCTCGCCCGCCGCGAGCCGGTCCGGGGGGGTTCGAGGGTCGGGGCCCATTGCAGGGATAGGTTGGGGGCGCCTGGAGAGCTGAGGGCCCTTGGGGGAACTGGGCAAGAGGCAGGTCCTGGGAGGTCTGCGGACCACCAGGGAAGAGAGAGTTGGGAGTTAGCGACAGCGGCTCTGGGGACCGAACTCACCGCGGGGTGTCTCTTGATCTGCCGGTAGAAGCGGGCCCCGGGACCTGTTCCCGCCATGTCGCCTCTCCAGGGTCTGAGGCTCCCCACGGCTATGCTCCCTAGCTCCTCCTGGGGTCCCGCCCCCGGCTGGGGAGGGGTCAGCCCGCCCGGCCCAGCGGACCGCTGGGGCAGGCTCACCCCACCCCCCTCATCTCTTCCTCCCGCCGTCCCCGCCCGAAGCGGGACAACTGTCGGGAGGCAGAGGGCTTTCTGCCCCTCCACTCCTCCAGGTGGCTGTGCCCTGGCCCACGGACACCCTCCTGCCTGGGGCTGGGTCCTGGCCTGAGAGGCTGAGGGAGGATCCAAGGTAGGGGGAGGACCCGCTGTGCGCCCGGCAGTCAGCTTGCAAGCCCAGTGCGGGGGCGGAGTGTTGGGGGGGGCAGGAGGGGCCCCAAGCACTTCCCGGACACCCCTAGGGCTAGCAGATCCCGAGGGAGCAGACAGGTCCCAAAGGCCCTGCTGGGCCTCCGCACACAGTGTAGAGGGAGGAGGAGAGGAAGGACAGACCCACAGCCCTCCAGCATCCCCAGCCCCGCCAGTCGTGGGAGGGTCTTGGAGTCGGGTGCGGTTGGCTCCAACAGCCAGCGGAGGCCGGGAGCCGGGGTATTTAACACCTGGCTGAGCTTGGAGCAAGTCCGCTGTCCAAGTTTGGGGTTTTGATAGACTTGCTTGCTCTGCCTACCTCCTGTAGGGTGAAGTCAGAGCCCCCCAAGACGACTCGCTGTTTCTGGCTGCGCCAGAGAGGAGGAGAATGGGGTAAGGGCAGGAGTGGAGGAAACGGGAAAGATGGAGGAGGAAAGAGAACAAGACGCCCGGAGAGAGAAGCGCAGAGCGGTTGCCTCCCTTTCTGCAGCAGCTTAGGTGTCTGCTATTGTTGGGGTGGGAAAGCTCCTTGCCATCGTCTCTGGGGAACCGGGGTGCTAGGGACCCGGCAGCCTGGCTCTAACCACCTCTCCCCACTGCCAGGCTACCCTCCCAGCCCTCCCTCCGTCCAGAGCCCTGCGGCGCCGCGGGCGGACGGGGTGAGTGGCTGCGGGGTGGGGGCCCCCCCATCCCAGCGCGGGTCCCTCCTCCGCCCCCTGCGCTGACAAGCGTGGCTGTAATTAGGCTGCGGGGTCCCAGGCTCTCCGCCTCCCTCCGGCGGATAATGAGATAAGGTGTCAGAGACACGGGAGAACAAAGAGACAGAGACTCGCTGCGGCGTAGGGGGGGGGGGGCTCAGGGGGACTGACGGGATGTCAGGCCTGGAGCAGCGCAGAGCCCGGCACCTCCTTGGGGACGGCCCAGTGGCCTGTCCTGTCACTCGAGCCCCCCAGGCCTCCAGTCTCCGGGACTAAGAATCAGTCCCGGAGCTCGAGCTCCCGGGGCTGCACATCTGGGCTGCACATCTGGCTCGGTATGCCCCAGCTGGGCCGCCAGGCCGCAGACAGGGGCGTTTGGCCCCGTGCCTCCGGGGCCCTCGCCCAGGCTCTTGGACCATTTCTTGTGACTTCGGTGGCCAGGCGCGTTCCGGACCCTCCGCCCCGCTCCTTCCCTGGAGCCGCCGGCTGTTCTGCTTGGCCTCAGCGCCCCACTTCGCAAGCGCCTTATTTCCTCTGGCCTCTCCAGGGCTCTTTGACCCCGCACCCGTTTCTGAGCCCTCGTCTAAGCCCCCCCCCCCCGCACCTGGGTCGCGATCTCTGGGTCGCGATCTCTGGGCCTGAGCTGGGGCGCGCAACTCGGAAATCCGGATCCCATGTCCCATCCCCCCCCGCCACACTTTCCCATCAGAAAGACTCAGGCCGCGCGGACCAAGGCGCGCGAGGGATGCAGGAGCCGTTAGCTGCGGATCGGGCGTGGCCCAGGCCGTGCGGGGCTCCCGCGGGGACCAGGGGCTGCACGCGGACTTCACCAGGACACGGACCGCGCGCCGGCCGCGCCGCGAGGGCAGCAGCGGGGCGGGGCGGGGCGGGGCGAGCGGGCTAGGGTCGGGGCCGCGAGCGCCCCCTGGAGGTCGAGCTGCTCCCAAGCTCTGCGGGGCGATGCTCCGGGCGCCCCCTGTCGGGCCGTGCGGGCGCTGCGCCCCGCTGCTTGGGGCGGGAAGCCCGTGCCTGGAGCGCCGGCCAGGCCCCACCTGGCCAGGTCCCACCTGGCCGTTCCTGCCACTCCTGCCAGGGCACTGGGTCCCCTCTTTGGGCCTGAGGTGGGCCCGCGGTGTCTCCCACCTCGCCAGGCTCTGGCTGGTCCCTCTCGAGGGGCTGGTGGGCCCCAGATGCCTGGGCCGGGTCCCGCCTAAGACTGCGCGCTGCCCTCGGCCCTGGGCCCCTGCCTGCCCCGTCTCTGGCTGCCTTTCTTTCTTCTCCAGGCTCTGTCTGTCTGCCTCCGTGTCTGTTCCTTACCACCTGGCTGTGTCTGTCTGTCTCTCCCTCTGCAGCTCGGGCAGGCTTTGTCCCTGCGCATCTGTTTCTGCGTCTCTCCGCGGCTGTCTTTCCCTCTACATCTCTCTGCCCTCCGCGTCTCTCCTTACGGACGCCGGTCTCTGTCTTCATCTCTATCCACCCCCACCCCTCGGTTCCAGCCCTGGTCTCCGGCTCGCTGCTCCTGGGGGGCTGCAGCACTGCGGGCAGCCGGCCTGGGGACAGCTCCGGGCACTGCCCGGGGTCCACTTCGCGATCACCTCCGCGTGCCCGTCGCCTCGGCGCGGACTCCGTCCTCCCTCTGCAGCTGCGGGGCGTGGAGGGGGCGCCCGGCATCCGCTCGGGAGCCCCGGAGCCCCAGACCCCCTCTGCAGCTATTAAGGGCGCGGGGTCCCGAGGCTCGGGGAGATGATCGCGATTGCATCAGCCAGACAGCCGCGGAGCTGGGAGCCGCGCCGGCGAGCGAGACAAAGACGCCCGCGCCATCTGTTTATGCAAAGCGCTCTCCGCCGGGGACCCCGGCGTCCCGGTGCCCGGCCGGCTGGGGGCGCGGGGTCAGGGGCCCTCTCTGCCCGGCGCCCCCGCCGCGCCGCGCCCCCCTCCCCGGGACCCAGAGGGGCTGCGAGGCGAGCGGAACGGAGGGGGGCGGGGGGTGTTGATGTGATTGGAGCGGACGCGGCTGTTTCTTCAATAATGGATGGAGATGATGCGGACGGCGGAGCCAAGCCCGCCCGGAGAGGAGAGAGGAATAGAAATGGGGGGGTGGGTGCGGGAGACTCACCCAGGCGCGCGCGCGCGCACACACACACACACGCACACACACACGCACACACACACACACACACCACCGCGCGTGCGTCACCCTGTCATCCGAATACACGCGGTCGCGCGGCTCACACCCAGGCACACGCCCCCGCACTGTCACGGAGACACACACACCTGCAGGCAGCGATGCCAGAGCAACACACTCACCGGCGGCTCTTCGTGATTCTCACATACACAGTCTTGCAGAGACACGCGGAGATGCCCACACTCGGGGCACACCCAGCCGTGAAGATGGGACAGACACACAGACACGTCAAAGCACATATCCCCTAGACGCCAGGGCCTAAGCTAGACAAAAATGAGGGAGATTGGCGGGGAGGGGGTAGGATGGGGACAAGACCAACTAATCCGTCCTTAAGGGCCCGGATGCTCAGAGCAACTTACCCTAACACGTCCTGCTCTGATATACGCACCTCACACCTCAGGGCACAGGCACCCCCAGTCTCTAGGGACACGGAGGGACCCCACCAATCTGCACGCACACAGGAGCTGCTGCCAGTGCCCCCGGCCTGGAGCAGGCCTGCCTGGCCGCATTCCCCCCCCCCCCCAGGTCTGCTGGCAGGGTGCTAGCTTCCTGCCTTGGCCCCCAGGGTGGGTGGTGCAGACCTTGGGCCACTGGAGCCCAGCACCTGGGGCGGGGGAGCCACACGGGATCACTGGTGGCTGCGGGGGGACTGCCAGGGTTTCCCACGCAGCCGTGAGGGGTGTGGAAGAGCCGGGCCTCGGTCACTCACTCGGGTCACCGTCACCGGCGAGGCGGCCCAGTCCTCCCCTTGTAGGTCAGAGTGGAGCGGCCGCAGAGGGGCAGGGGCAGGTTGTGTCCTGGCCCCGGGGAACCTGGCCCCTCCTCCGGTCTGTTTTCAATTCAGTCCGTTCCTTGGCCCAGACTTATGACCTTTGCTGTGTGTGGCAACATCATCCATCACCTCGGCGCACGGCTTGCCGGAGTGAGGGGCGGTGGGGTTCACCCAGGGCGCTGTTGCCACCGCCTCCCCCGCAAGAGCCCTGCTCTGGGCGTTGGCCTGGGCTCGCGGGGGGCCAGTGCTGGGGGGGCGCGGCCAAGAGCGATACTGGCCGTCCCCAGCCCTGGCACCCAAGCGCCGGCCTTCGGGCCCGCACAGCCGGCCTGCCCGCTCCTCCCGCCCTCCCTCTCTCGGGCCCTTTGCTTAATTTCCTATTAACTGCTGATAAATCCAATTAAACCGCCGCTCTAATTAGGGACAGCTGCCGGCTCCGCGAGGCGGGGGGGGGAGAGTGCCCCCCGAATGTAGGGGGAGCACAGCAGCTCCCTCTGCTTCTCGGCACCCCCACACCAGCATCGCCGCCCAATGAGCCAGTAAATTGGTTTTGCTTCTGCGTTGTGGGGAGGCCCTCTGAGGATCCAGCGGCTCTGGTCTTGAGTCCCCCAGATGTCTTGATGGAGACACGCGGCCCGAGTCCTGGCGTCGCCAGCCTGGGACCTGCGACCACCCGCGCCGGCCTCCCTGGGCAGGCGTGGCCCGGGCGGGAAGGGGGCGACGGGCGTGTGTGGCGGTCGGGGGCTGCCGTGACCTGCTCCTCTGCCGGCCCAAAGGCGATTACGGGGCCGCCGCCCCCAGGCTCCCGGGCCAGTCAAGGGCGCGGGAGCGGGAGTTCCCCGCGCTTCCCCACCCCCACGGCGCCTCAGCCTTTGGCCAGGAAGGGGGGCGCGGCCGTCCGGGCCCTCCTCTTCCCCAGCCCAGCTGAGCCTCTGCCCTCCCCCCGCCGGCAGCAGATGGTGCCCGGGCTCCCGCTGCCAACCTTGCCAGGCGGTGCCAACCCCAGGCCTGGCAGACAGCGGGCAGAGGAGCATCTCCTGACTGGCGGGCCGGCCCTCCCCCATCCGCCATCGGGCTCCAGACCCTGCCGGCCCGACCCCAGGGACCACCCCAGGCCGCCTCCCGCTGCTTGGCTCCCACGTCCCCAAACTCCTCGTAGCCTTCAGCTCCCTTCCCTACACCTTCCCGCTCCTCGCCACCTGCCACCCTGACCGGGGCCGGCGCATTTGCATATTTGCATATGCAAACAACAACATTTGCATACGGCGCGCCGCGGGGGGGGTCTCCGCGTGAGCCGCTCTGCCGGCCGCCCCGCGCCCTCGCACCCGGTACCTGTCGTGAAGGGCTGGGGCGGGGGCCGCGCGGGAGGGGTGAGGCCCCCCGGCCTCGCTCGCTCGGCTCCCGGAGGACTCGAGGAAGTGTTGCCATGGAGACGGCACGCACCCCGCCCCCTCCCCGGCCCAGGGTCTCCGGCGCGGAGTCTCAGGTTCGCTCCTCCCGCGCCCCCTCCCCCGCCCGGGCCTCCGCTCTCCAACCGAGATCGTGCATCGCCCCCTGGCGGCGCAGCTCGGCACTGAGCCGCCTCCGAGACGGAAGGGCGCTCCCCGCCGCCAGGTGCCGCGGCCGCCGGGGCGCGGGCTGGGGACTCCAGGCGGGGCCCCCTTCGCGGACGGCACCTGTACCCCCACCTGCCACCGGCCTCAGCCCCGGGGGAAGGCAGTGTACCCGACGGTGGTGAGGGGACACAGCTGGGGGGGACCCGCCGCCGCCTCGTAGGCCCTCTCCTCGGCCCCCAGTTAAAGAATTAATTTTGCTAACTTTTTTCAGAACTTTAATACATTCGCAATATTCGACAGTTCGCCTCCCACAGCCCCGGGCGCCTCCGGGTAGCGACGCGGTCTTCCTTTTCCAGCTCTCACGGGCTGGGCCGGGAGGTCGCAGGGGAGGCTGCTCCGCGTCCCCGGCATCCCCGCCCGAGGCCGTCCCTTCCCGGGAGCCCCGTCACGCTCTGCGGGCCCTCCCGCCCCTCCCGCCCCCAGCACGGCTGCTGTCGCCCCTTCCTCCCCAACCTCCCCTGGGCCCGCCCAGAGTGGGGCCTGGGTATCTCCCGGCCGCAGCGCCCGCGCGCCTAAATCTCCTCCAGGAAGTCGGTGGGGAACAGCCCCACCTTGCGGCCGGTGTAGACCTTGACGTAGCCGCCGGCTTCATCTCCTTTCTGGACCACGATCTGAATGAAGGATTAAAGGTTTAGGGAGAGGAATCAATGGAAAAGGTAGAAGCGGGAGAGCAGTGGTGCCTGGATTTATGGAGGCCTATCCTAGCCCCATGAAGGGGTTAAGATCTGTAAGGAGTGTGGTTTGCCGAGGAACCCTGGGGCCTGGGATTGGACTGCGGCACCAGGGCTACCTGGTTCCTTCCTTCCTTCCTTCCTTCCTTCCTTCCTTCCTTCCTTCCTTCCTTCCTTCCTTCCTTCCTTCCTTCCTTCCTTCCTTCCTTCCCTCCCTTTCTTTCTTTCTTTCTTTCTTTCTTTCTTTCTTTCTTTCTTTCTTTCTTTCGAGAGAGCATGAGCACAAGCATGGGGAGGGACAGAGGGACAAGCTGACTCCCCACTGAGCGGAGAGCCCATTGGAGCTCTGTCCCCAGACCCTGAGATCAGGACGCCAGCCAAAGTCAGATGCTTAACTGACAGAGCCACCCAGGTGCCCCTATCTTTATTTTAAAGAGAGAGCACAGCAGGAGGAGCAGGGGGAGAGGGAGAATCTCTTGGTGACTCCACCCTAAGTGCCCAGTCCATGCAGGGCTCAATCTTCCCACCCTGAGGGGAAACCGGGAGTTGGTTGCTGAACCCACTGCGCCCCCCAGGTGCCCCTACCTGGTCCTTCTTGAGAGTGATCTGCCCTATTTCACGGTTTCCCACGAAGGATCTGGTCACTCGGTGCACACGCTCTCCAGCCCGGACCCGAATGATGAAGTTTGGAGGAAAAAATCCAACCTTCTCCCCTATTTTCCCCTAGAGGAGATGGCAGGGAGAATCAGTCTCTCGGTCTCAGATTCTAAAGTCAACCAATGTCCCACCCTAGCCTCAGCCAGTTCTCTTACCCGCCACCACTCCTCATTGGAATCATCAATGACTGTGATCTTCTCTCCAGGCCTGGGAGAGGAAGGGAGAGGCCTCTGAGATTCAGGGGGCTTACTTACCTATCTGGCCCAGGTCCAGCCCCAACAGGCTCCAAGCCCTGAGTGCCCCCTTTTCCTTTCCCATAGGGAGCCAGGCTCTCCCTCTCCACTCCCAGTATACCCCCGTCCCAGTCCTAAGGCCTCTCACGGGAAATCCAGATCGTCCTTCTCCAGGGCTTTGAATCGATAGAGAGCCACAAAGTAGTGAGACTGCTGGAAGCCAGGCTGCTTGTGCTGGGGGTGAAAGGAGGTGATGAGTCTCTGGGCTCCTCTGTCCCACATTGAGGGTCAGGAGTCCAAGGCAAGGACATTCTCCAGGCACACTACATTACAACTCTCTTCCAGCTCCCTGAACTAAGAGGAATCTGTTGTGTGCATGAGTGTGGTGTGTGTGTGTATGTGTGTGTGTGTGGTGGAAAAAGCAGGTTAAGGGTGATGGGAACCCATGGAGTAAGTGTGAGCTTTTGCTGAGGCCCAGGTGGTATCGACCTGGGTTGGGGAGAGGATTGGGGTCCATGCAGGGAGAGAGGAGTCTCACTTTGTCATCAGGTGTCTTCTTTTCAGCCTTCTTATCCCCTTCAGGGTTTCCTGGGGTGGGAAACACCGACAAACTGTCTCTAGCTTCTGGAAGGTAGTCCTCATTCTTTTACTCTTCTGTTGCAGAGCCACTTTTATCTCCAAACCTGGCATACCCTTTGGCCCTCCATTCCCTGTACCAGAGCAGAGCCCCTGATCCTACTCCATTTATAGGGATGGAGGTGGGTGACACTCACCATCCTGGGGTTTGCCTTCCTCTGGTCTGGCAGGCTCTGGCTCCTCTTCCATCACGGCTGCTAGAGGCTGGAGGGGGTACAAGAGTTAGGAAGATGCTCTCCTGGGAACCCATGCTTGCCCTGGCTCTCCAGCCAGGCCAGCCAACTATAGAATAATAGGATCTCAGGATTGGAAGGAGCCTTGGAGGAAATACCCAGTTCAACCACCAGCTTAATGCCTGAGCTTCCTGTAAAACATCCTGGCAGGTGGACCATCCACATTGTGCTTGAATGCAGCTAATGACAGGAGCTCACTACCTTACAAAGTAAGCTCATGCAATTTGAGGGCAATTCCCTAAATTTAACCTATTCAGTCTCCCTGTAACGTTTAGTCATCAGTCCTGATTTGGCCTCTGGAGCAACAGCGAACATAGTCCCTTTAAATCATCCCCTCCTCCATGATGCCGATTCTAGGATTTTTACTATGTCTGCTCTTAAAAATACTCCAGTGTGTAAGAGAAAAATGGGCAGCATGGTTTTTATAATTCCCTTAAGAGAATAGAACCTGAGTGTGCTTGCCTTTCTGAAAGCAGTCAAATCACATTGCTAGGGCCTTGTAAGTCTTAGTTCATTCTACAGAAATCGCTAATTTGTACCCAACTTCCATAACAACTACTCAGAAGCCAATTCTTCCAGTTTTTGTACAGTTGATTTCTTTGATCCTAGAGCAGACATGTTCATTTTCCTTACAAAACTTCAAATTCTTGGTTTTGAGCTTTTCTTCTAGTCTCAAAATATTTGAATATACTATTCAGTGTATAAGTTTCCCCTCCTAGGTTTCCCACAGACTTAAGGGATAATACTATTTATACATTCATTTGCATCAATGAGAAAAATCTCTGTAGATGAAGACTGAGGACCAACTCATGTTATAAGGTATCAGAAATCTCCCTTTAGCTAGGCACTCTCTAAAGGACCTGGATTCTTTGGGCATAGTCATTCATCCAATTTTAGGACTCCAACTAACTGTTATCCACATCAGTCCATCCTGGCTTTCCAGAAAGATATAAGGATATGCTAACAAATTCTTTGCCAAACTGAATGCAAGTCTATGGCATCACCAATCTAGTAACCCTATTACGAAAGGAAATGAAGTTGCTTTTGGCTGCTAGCCTAATGCTTCAGTTTCCTCATCTATAGGATAAGTGAGTAAGTTCAGATGATATTCATGGACCCTTCATGGCTCTAGAATTGATTGCTTGGCATGACAGGTTTGCTTCCCCAAATCCAAAAGCATGGCTCTTGCCTCTGTTGTCTAGCAATGCCAGGAGCCTGGGGACCTAACCTTCAGTAGGTTATGGTGCTTAATCTGACAATTCCAGAAGGGAGTTTCTAGAGAAAACACATGCTATGGCAGGAATTCTCAACCCAAGGCTCTCTAAAATTGCATGCAAAAATTTGTTGGGTTATGTGCAATTTTAGGGGAAGAGAATCCCTAGCTTCTGTCAGCTTTCTAGAGAGGAGACAGGACCTGCTCTGTGGAATCTCTTGGAGGGACCTCAAGAGGAAGGTATGGTACTCACATTTTTCTTATCTGCCTGTCCCTTCTTCCGTTCCTTGTTTGCCATGATCACCCCAGTGCGCAAGGTTTCAAACACAGGATCATTGTGATTGGCTGCAGCTAGTGGGAATGGGAGAAGAAAGAAGCTATTACTGGGGAAGCAGAGAAAGACTTGAAGGAAAGAGAGACCTTCTAAGTAAGGGAGAGGTGGTATTAAGTAGATGGATACGTGTGTGTGTGTGTATGTGTGTGTGTGTGTGTGTGTGTGTGTGTGTGTAGGATTAGGGTGGGGTCAGCTGGGCATATCTAGGTCATCAATCTATAAAGAGCTATAAAAACATCACTGGGAATGTAATGTGATGGAGAAAAATACTTACCAGCACTCCTTCCAGGCAGAGCATTATATGATGTTGGAAAGACAACTTTGCTAATAAGTTGCTTGGGAGTTGGGGAATGCTCACAATCACTATTCTCCTTTTAAGGAGAGTGGTCCTTTAACTGCTGGCTTTTGTTCTGCTGAGTGGCATGTGCAAGCTGGAGTGCTGCCACCATGGGTTCTTCTTTTTTCCACCCATGCTCCTCATAAAGATCAGCCTCTCCTCCAAATAAATGTTGAGTAAAATTGTCAACGAATATGTTTGTAAGGGTTGCCAAATTATGAATCTGCCCAGGATGCCCAAAGCTCTTGGTCTAGCCCTGAGACTGGTATTACTCTGTCACAAGGATGAGGACAGTCAAGAATCCTTGTTCTTGCTTAGAAATAGTTTTACATATGAAGAGCCCAGAGTTTGAAGCTAGGCAGATGAAGGTTTCAGTCTTGGCTTTGTCTCCTGCTAGTGGTGTGGAGCCCTCGCTAAATCTTATCTTCCCTCAGCTATAAAACAGGAATATGGACTCTGTATTCAAGACGGTAGGTTGAGCAAGAACCATGGGAAATAGAATCTTTCTGTTTCAGAATTTGGCTTCCAGATTTAGAGGTGGTGCTGGAACCATCTCTAGGCTTGCCCTTTCCCTCGGGTCCCACATGGAGCACTTACAGAGATCTTTGACACAAGCGTACTGCTGGTTGCTGTAGAGTGGGGAGCTATAGGCCCGGTGGAAACCAGGGGGCTGTAGGGTGAGATGGGAGAAAGCATTAGAGACAGCAAGCTATGGCTCAGAACCCCATCTCTCCCATGACTAAACCCCTTCTTGGGGTAAGAGATGGGCTGAGAAAGAAAAAGCAGGGAAATGGATGTGATGACTTGGGAGGGACGGAGGGACTGAAAGGGGGGAGCTGGCAACACGTCCCCTCCCTTCCTTCTCGCTCCCCAGAGCCTACTCACGATCTTGCCGAAGCATCTCTGCATCTCCACATAGGACTGACAGTGCTCGTGGATGTTAGTTTTGCAGTTCTTACAGCGAAGCCCAAATTTGTTGTTGACTTGGGAAAAGCAAGAACATTTGGGTCAAGTTCTCCATTGCCCCTTCCTTTTTGTACCAGTGCTGCTACTCTAGCTCTCAGGTCCTTTTGGTCTAGGACCACACTCTCGGGTTTTTGTTTTTGTTTTTTTTTTAATATTTATTTATTCATGAGAGACAGAGAGAGACAGAGACAGAGAGACAGAGACAGAGAGGGAGAGGGAGAGGGAGAAGCAGGCTCCATGTAGTAAGCCTGCTGTGGGACTCAATCTGGAGACTCCAGGATCATGCCTGAGCCAAAGGCAGACAGATGCTCAACTGCTAAGCCACCCAGGGGGTCCCACACTCTCTTTCTAATGGTGTTTTTTTATTTTATTTATTTTATTTTATTTTATTTTATTTTATTTTATTTTATTTTATTTTATTTTATTTTATTTTATTTTATTTTATTGGTGTTGATTTTTTAAAGATTACTTTTTTATTTGACAGAGAGAGAGAGAGCACGCACGCAAGAGAGGGAGGAGCAGAGGGAGAGGGACTCTCCCCCTCAAGACCCTGAGATCATGATCGGAGCTGAAATCAAGAGTTGGACGCTTAGCTTAGCCGGCTGAGCCAGGGCTGAGCCACCCCTGAGCCACCCAGGCACCTCTCTGCTAGCGTTTTCTTAAAGCTGCCTCTTGCTCCAGTCTGCCTGCTATACAAATGCGCTTCTCCTGAGCCCATTCCCCCACCTCCTGCCTTCAACATCACACTCTCTCCACTTCCCTTCGTGACTCACGCACAATCATCCGGGCACAGACATCACAGAACTTGGGCTTCTTGAAGAAATGATCTTTGAATTTGTGAGGCTTATCATTGACAAGCTTAGGAGGTTCTGGGGGTGGCTCTTCCTCCTCTTCTTCCTCCTCTTCCTCATAGATGTAGTAGATGGGCCCACCCCCAGCTCCCACTGCCTCCCCATTGGCCTGGGGCTCTGGGGGAAGCTCCATCTCCTTTGTCCCGGGAGACTCCTTCCTGAATAACTGCTTCAGCCGCTGTAGCTGAGGGAGGAAGGGGATGGGGGAAGGGAGGAAACCCAAAGTTAAAAGATCTGTCATGCTCTCCAGAGCAGGTAAGGCTGACTACTAACTACACATTTTTCAGTGTGGGCAAGGGGCACACCCCAGGATTAGGAGGTATTGGGGGATGCAGGTGCTGGCTAGCATTCTGACAACAGATGAGTCACATACAAGTGAGATGAATTCAAGCATTCTTGAAGGGCTGCAGTGGCTTCCGAGCTCCCCATACCCGGTGGTCACAGGCCCAGACTCACCCCACTTTGCCGAGTCTCTGCTGGGAAGGAGGGCTTAGGGGACTCCAGCACCTCCTTTTCTGTCATCCTGCAAGAGGTTGGACCCCACTATGAAATCTAATCCCTGACTGTTGTTCTTCCTGTCCTAATTCCTGTCCTTCACTATAGGGTGGTTCTTGAAAGGGAGATTTTAGGAGAAATTTGGTTAAACAGAAATCCTTTTACATAGGCTTATCGACAGATTCCATGGAGGTCCAGGGAAAAGCACAGCAGACTGAAGAACTTCCCAACCAGCTCCTGATACCCATCCTTCCCCACTGAGGGGCAACCCAAGTATGGCTTAGAGATTTTCCTGGTTTCTCCTGGGAATTTGTGGGCAAGAGGGATGTGACACACACCTTCCCAGATCCCTTTTCTTCAAGAGGTTTAATGTGTCCAGAAGCATGCTTGGAGGGATGGGCTGGGAACATCTGTTCACCCATACCCCTTTCTTGAGTCCCGGGGGCCCAGGGCCTAGTTCCCAGCCTGCCTGTCCTCAGCTATTTTAAGTTTTCAGAGTAATATGAGCCTTTCTTTCCCTTACTACTCCATTCCCTTGACCCCACCTCCACCCCACCCTCCAATCCTAGCTCTTGTCCTGGAATAATAATTTCACTCCTAAAACCCCAACTACTCACAAGCAAGAGAGAAACGAAGACATTGAATAGGCTACAGATTGGGGAAGCTGCAGGGAGCAGTTCTGACAATGGACAGAGGACGAAGAGGCAACTTACGTTTGGGATTCCCTAATTCAGCCCACAGTCTGTGGAGGGAAGAGGGAGCCCCTGGGGTCTTGATGGTGGTGCTGGGGGAGGACTGGTCCTCTTCCTTGGGGGCTAAGCCCCCCCAGTACCCTCTGTACTCACACCGGCTACCCAGACGTTATTTGTAGACCTCCTAGTCTCTCGCCTTGGTGTCAGAGCTGAAATGACAGGGCTGGAGGAAAGTGGACAGCTGAGCGACACAGCTGACACAGAGAAATTGGACACGGGGAGGTCTGGGCTGGGCTGGACCCTAACTCCTCCCATCCCCCAGAGCTGCTATGCCCTGGTTTTTTTAATCTATGGTGTACAGGTCAGTTCTGGCTAAATTCAAGAAGGGACAGTGTCTGTTCATGTTGCATACTTCATTTAGGTGATTTTGGATGACTGAAGATAAAGATGAAATTGTAAACAGTTTTCCCCAAGGTCCAAATACATCTCCAATTCTACCTTCCCTGGACCTACTTTAGAAACTAGCTTTTGATTTTTCAGCCATTGGCTTCTTGTGGCCATGTGTTTTTACACCCTCAAGCACTCATCTAGCTTCAAACCTTTAGGAAGGAAAGAATTTGAATTCTCAGAGGTTTCCTATCAGCCAGACTAGACTGCATCCTTATCCATGGGTGGTGGTAGGGGTACCCTGCTCCATCCTGAAAGGTAGTGAGGAACATGCATAGTACTGCTTTATTCCCTCCAGTGCCCCAGGAACATCTTCCCTCCATTCTAAAATCTTGTCCTCAGGGTGAAGGGAAATCTAAGAACTACTGAAAAAATCCAGGCTGGGACTTCCATCTGAGGGGCTCTGGGGGATTGCGGGTCTGATGGTCAGGTAGGTAGAGATGGTCTTGTTCACACTGGACAGAAGGCAATAGCTACGACACAGGGCGGGTTTTATCTTCAGTAAGTAAAGTCTGCCTCCCCATGAGGACTGTAAACTTTTGGAGATAGGATAGCTGAGCCCCACACTTCGAAATCATTTTGATTCCCTGATTCCATCTCCCTCATCTGATGCCCCAGTATATGAACTTATGGGTCAATGAGATATCTGGCATCTTATCTCGCAGGGATGCAGCCTTCTCCTACTCTGGGCTGTGACATGGCTGAAAGAGAAGATACTCCCATCTTGGAGGACAGCCATTTGGATGTGGTCATGTAGTGCTGCTTTATCCCTTGTATCTGTAAGAAGTAAAGGATTATGTTGGAGGCTGGGTCAGACAAGCCTCAGAGGAGCCTGGCTAGAGATACTGCTACCCACACCCAAGAGATTTCCAGGGTAATGTGCTTTGTCATTTCTGTCACTGCTCTTTTTTCTTTCTTTAAGGGGTGGGTGAGATCGAGCAGGGCCTGCAGGATGGCTCTTAATGGCTTTGGTCTGACAGGCTGCACAACAACAGGGCTAGCTTTGAGAAGCCTCAGCGAGAGGAAAAGCTCCGTCCATACGGGGTGGGTAATGTCTGCTTTTCACCTTTCTTCAGTTGCATAGGACAGGGACTGCTGAGTATGCCTGGATAATATGGGATCTCGGCACTGCAAGTTCAACTGACATAGCTTTTATTGTAAGAAACATCCACTTCTGTTCTACCATGCAGAACCCAATGGCTTTTGTATTAAAGAAGGACCCAAGTCCTCCATCCCTGAAGAGTTTTCAGAAGATCAGATTCTGGACACATATAAGGCCACCATCTCAACCCAGTTCTGGACCTCGCTCACCCCTCCCCAGCTCAGCCACAAGGGACCCTAAAGGAGTATCACAGAATTAACAAAATGGAAGGAACCTCAGAGGTAGGCCAGTAGGTCAGTCCAAGTCTCTTATTTTACTAATAAGGACTCAGAGGTCTGGAGTTGAGAAGTGATGTGTCTGATGAAACCACACTTGGAGAGTTAGGAAAGGCCAGAACAAAGGTCCCATTAGAGACCCAGCCATCTGTCAGAACATTATGTACAAGGACGCCGGTGGGATGCACGGAACAGTGTTAGGAAGGTATGTGTGCATAGGCTAGGGAAAGCCATCCTACGTGAAACCCTTCCAATAGCTGTGGGATTGTACCTACCCAGGACCTCCAACCCCCACCCACACCAGGGCAGCAACAGAGAAACAGGGACTGATGTCCAGTGACAGATTTTTTTTTATATTTAAAAACAAAATCAACCTCCCCCCAAATAACCCCCCAAACAAACAAAAAATCAGATTAAATAAAATTTACAGTGAATATACCCAGCAAACATCTGTATGTGCAATTAAATACTGTCTGTTACTGCGGCACAAACCTCAAACAAACAATATACAAGTGTTCTGGGAGGTGGGGGGGAGGCCCAAGTATTAACTCTTTGGGGTTTGGGGAGACAAGATGGGGGAAGTGAGAGAAAGGGGAAATCAATTTTGCTTTTCTTAATTCTGTCCATATAAATATATTCATAAAGACCAGAAATGAAAAGGGAGCTTGGGATGGTAAGGGGATTGAATAGGGGAGTGTGTGATCCTCCCAATTCTATCTGACCAAAAATATGAAAAAAATTAATTTCATGGTGGGAGAAGAGATAAAAAATGACAGAAGAGGATAGGAAGGAGAGGGAAGCAAGGGGGGGCCAACCAGGGAAAACGAGGGGACCCATGGCAGGGGGGCGAGAAGGAGTCCAGTGCCAGTGTGTCTGTTCCGTCTTCATCCCCACTGTCTCAGGCTCCAGTTCAGTGTCTGTCACCTTCCTTTCTGCCTCTGTCCATGGTCTGTCAGGATCCCTAGATCCCCTCCACCCTGCCTCCACCCCTACTGTGCCGGACCCTTCCCCTCCTCCGTTTATTGGGAGCTGGCTCGCTCCAGGATCCTCAGGTCATAGTTCTTTTTGGCCACTCGAAGTTTGAAGCGACTCACAGAGTTGTTGAGGCGAAGGGAGGCATTCTGGGCAGCCAGGGGGCTGGGAAACACAGCCACGATGGTGTACAAGGCAGCGAGGTCCGCGTGGCGGCCGTTCTCAGCAGTCCCACTGTTGTCCCCCCCGCCCCCGCCAGGCAGCCCCTGAGCATCCTTGAGCCATTGAATCTTGGCGCCGGACATGGCGAGCTGAGTGAAGAGTTTGTCCGCCTCAGTCCGAGTGATGCCCTCAGGGAGATCTGTTACCTCCAGCACCCGGCCCAGTACTGGAAGGGGAGGAGAGATGCCACGGTTATGAGAGGGAACTGTATGAAGGCCCAGCAAGTGGCCAGCAGAGAGGTCTGCAGAGCTGACCCAAGTCTATAGATGGCGTCCTCAAAAACTTGGCCTCACCCACTTAGCCCATCCCTCCTTCCCTAAATCATCCCAATACCCCACCATCGAGGCAGCTAAGAGAAGTCAAGAAATCTTTTTCTTCTCTTATACCAAGAAGAAACTGGGGATCAGAATCCCAGATTTCTTCAGATCTGGAGACCTACACCTCAGTTCTTGCACCAAGTCAGTAGCCCAATCTGAAATATATCCCACAGTCGTCTCCTTGCCAGAGGCTGGCCCAAAGGGATCCTACTTCCTTATCATCTAGGGAAGTCCATTTCCCTGTCTTTCCTTGTTTAGCAAACCACTCCAAGTAGGGGGTAATCTGAGAGATCTTGTATGCCTAGTGGGGAAGGCCTGCAGGGGGATTATTCCCTCATATTCTCTTCTCGAGCTTCTCCTAAAGGACTAGGAGAACTTGGAACTACCAAGGCAGACATTCTAGATTAGGGTCAGGAACACTCCTACAAGACTCTTTTGTTAACAGGCTCAGCATCTCCCACCATTGTTATACTCAACTTTTATCATCACCTTTCCCAGGACCTGAAATGGCTTAATAAGGAGGACTGAGACACTTTAATTCTTCGGTTTCTCCTTGCTCTTGAGTACAAAAGGGTCTTCTTCCTTCCTTCCTTCCCTTCCTTCCCTTCTTTCCCTCCTTTCTTTTTCTTTTTAGAGATTTTATTTATTTATTTGAGAGTGAGGGAGAGAGAGAGAGCGCGCGCACAAGCAAGGGGAAGCAGCAGGCAGAGGGAGAGGGAGAAGCAGACTCCTCCCTGAGCAGGTACCTGGATATGACCTGCACTGAAGGTAGATGCTTAACTGACTGAGCCACCCAGGAACCCCAAGAGTCCTATTTCTACTCTCCACCCTTAAGCTGGCTCTTCTCACTTGTCCTGGGCTGGTAATGCAGGCTGGAGAAGTGAGCACCTTCACTCACCAACATCTGTTGTCCCCAGGTCAGTGGAGGCAGATTTGAGTGCTTGTCTCTTGCTCCGGTTTCCATGCTTCAATCCACTCTGTCCCTTCAACATTTGAAAGATAACTCTCATCCTAGGTAAACAACACTGAATGCGCGCATCCCTAATGTCTGTCTGAGAGATTAAGGAGCAGCATCCACCCTTGAAGACCTTGCCCCATCAGGCAGGCATGGTGGCCAGAGTGGCCCCTGAGAAACCGAGTCCTTCCCCTCTTGGCACTGGGGTCAGATGGGAAGAGTGAGTCTGAGTCTGAGAGAGGGGTAAGGCCCCTTCCACTTTGTTTACTCTCACTGTGCCATCTCCCCTGTCCACCCCACTGGTTGAGGTGGATGGCTCCGAGATAGGGGCCTGATGAGAAGACGGATCTGATGGCCCTCAGGCTGATGGAAGACACCCTTACCTGGTGTACCGTGTAAGTTGACTGGCCATGGAGCAAGGGAGGGCAAATAGACAGATTGTACTGTAATGGCTGGCCCAAGAGGGAGTAGCGCCCATCACCTAGGAAGGAAGAGCAGATGGTTTTCTGGGAGTTAGAATTTCATGATATGACTTTTATGAGACTTCAGGGGACTTTGGAGATAGATGACAACAATGCATACTTTTTCTATGTTAGGAGTGCCCATGTGACTGACTAAAGAGTTTTCTCTTTTCCTAAACCCCTTGGCTCTCAGCTCTATCTCAGACAAATGGGGCTTTTACTTCCCTTACCCTTGAAGAAGGAAGGCCTCTGTCCACTGCAGATGAAAGGCCCTGTGGGAAACCTACAGATTCTTATGAATGTTTTTCATTTCTTCCTTTGCTTGCTTGCTTCCTTCCTTCAAGTAGTCTCTATGCCCAACATGGAGCTTGAGCTCCAAGCCTGAGATCAAGAGTCACAGACATGCTATACTGACTGAGGGCAAGCCCCATACCATTAATTTCTTATATAGACTCTCTGCCCCAAATGCAGGGCTCAAGTTTCTGACTCCTGTTGCGTGGCAATCCAGTGAGTGGATAAGAGTACATACAGGCTTGGAGCCAAACTGCATAGGTTCAAATCCTGGCTCTGTTACTGGAGGTGAGAGATTGGGTATGTTTTCCCTTCATCAGTGTTGCTGAGAAGGTTGAATAAATACAAGACACGCAAAGCACATATAGAGCACTGTAAGGGTTACTTTATTATTGATAAGTGTTAGATTTCAAAGCTCTTTAAAGTTTTTAAACCATGTTCTCATCTGATTTTTAATACTGCATGTGACAGCCAAGACAGAAACAGATATATTAGGTCTTTACAGATTTTATAGATTAGGAAATTGAGTTCTGGTTCCAAGTCGAAGTAACATGCTCAACACCACAAAGCTAGTTAGTGGCAGAACATGAACTTGAACCCAACTCCAGTGTTCTCTCTTCTAAAACCACAGTTTCTGACACAGCCACATATTCTCAGCCCTCAGACTCAGTACTGATGAGTTCAACTCTTGGATTTGTTAGAAAGTTCACTGAGTTTCTTCTCTGGGCTCACAGTCACCTATCTTACTTGGTAGTAAGTACTAAATATGTAAAGGAGGTCTGCAGTCAGCTGACTATGGGTGGCACTAAAGAGGGGCAAGTGTGCTTGGCCTAAACAGGGATATAAAGAGATGGCTCCCAGAGTTGGATGACCAGCCACACCAGTTTTCCTGCCTGTTGCTACCATCTAGATCTTCCCACTTGGGAATGGACTGCAAAGGGTGAATTTGGTAGCAGCCAGCCCTAATCTAACCCCTTACCCTGTGCTGGACCCCCAGGCCGGGGGAACTGTGTGAGGACAGGAAGGGGACTGAGTCCTGTGCAGACACTGCTGAGGCTGGTGACAGGAGAGGGTGCTGGAGACTGGGTAGGAGATGTGACGGGGCTGCTGCTCATTTGAGTGTTGGCCTGTGGGAGAGAGGAGCACGCATCATACACACCAAAAACGATTCTCTGGATGTTCCTATGGCTTGGCTTAGAATTCACCTTGCTCAGAACACTTCCCTTGCAGAACTCTGTCAAAGTCAGATTGTTCCTTCCAACAGCCCCCTTAGTCCCTACTTAATCTGTATTAATTAATTAATTTAAAAGATTTATTTATTTATTTTTAAAGATTTTATTTATTTATTCATTCATGAGAGAGAGAGAGAGAGAGAGAGAGAGAGAGAGAGAGAGAGAGAGGCGCAGAGACACAGGCAGAGGGAGAAGCAGGCTCCATGCAGGGACTTGGGACTTGATCCTAGGTCTCCAGGATCACACCCTGGGCTGAAGGTGGCGCTAAACCACTGAGCCACCAGGGCTGCCCAAGATTTATTTTAAAGAGAGAGAGTATGCATGGGGAGGAGTTGGGTCGGGGTGGAGCAGAAGGAGGAGCAGAGGGAGGGGGAGAGGAGGAAAGAATCTCAAGCAGACTCCTCACTGAGTTCAGAGCCCCATGTGGGGTTCGACCTCATGAACCTGAGATCATGACCTGAGTGGAAATCAAGGGTCAGATGAGCCACCTAGGTGCCCCAATTTGTATTAATTTAACAGCCACTTTTTGACACAGTGTTTAAGTATTCTCTTGGCATTTTCAAGTGTGTGTTCCTTAGATTTTGGGTTCCTTGAAAAAAGATGCTCTCTTCTATTTCTTATGATTCTCCCTGAAGAGTGCCCAGGGAAAGACACATAGAAGAGGCTGTTCGGTCAATGGCAAAGATGATTCCCTGAGAAGAATCTGGTCTTCTCCTTGCTAAGACAACGCTGGGTTGCAGGACTCACCTGGGGGCTACTGTCAGGATTGTATAGGTCTCCAGGTTTCTGCCCA